AAAAACAAAAAAAAAAAAAAAAAAAAAAAATGTCTATTGTGACACTGTTTAGATACCATATGGACAGGTTGGGAAACCTGCGCCTGCCACATGCTGTTATTTTAAATTCTTCCATGTATTTTTATTACAAAAGCATTGTCTTTGTTAAGAATGAGCCAACCATTCCTGTTTCCTGTTATCTGCAGCACTTTGTCTTTGGTTTTCCATTTATACCTCTTAGTCTTACATACCAGCAGTAGGGGTAGAGAAACACAAACGAAACAAAAAAGCCGTGATAAATGCAATTGTGGATATTTTTGTATTTTCCTTCTTATTTATTCATGTTTATTCATCTAATTGATTTCCTAATTTATTATAACTTGGATATTTATACGAACAAAGCTCTTAGGTCAGTTGAATGTTATTTATTACCCTCTTGTGTGTTCTTAAATGGGGAAACATTTTAAGGAAAATGAACTATTTCTTTTGTTTTGGTCTGACTTTGACAGAATTATGTGAACATAGACAAGTCACAAATCCTCTTTTCTAGAAAAAAGGAAAGAGAACTTGTGGAAACACTTGGGGGAAAAAAGATTTACCAGTAAGAATGTAGACTTAGCCTCTCTTTGGAGAGGGAATATGCTCTTCTATTGATATTTGTCAGTTTACTGTCAATTATTGTCATATTATTGTGCGTGTAGGCCAGGCCTGAGGAGAGGGACACTGCAGATCCAAATCTACTTCTTCTCTTTGTAAATAGACAAACCATGGAGGTCATTTGTCTTTTCAACCATGCTGGGGATTCCTGCTCTATGCTTTTAGCTTGTATTGCAGTGTGCATGTCAAACATGAGCTTTTCTTTGCATGGCTTTAGTGTTAATACTTCATTCCCAACTCACTCCTTCTCTCAGCCTTCATTAGTTCTCTCTCCACAAAACTACCATTTAACATTTTAAATTCTCCCTCACTTTTCACCCTCTGCTTTTATTTCAGACCTTTTTTTTTGTCCCCTCGCTCCTGCTAATTGTTCCCTTCCTCCTCCTCCTCCTCTTGTCTTATGCACAAAGTTTAGGAACTATGCTTCTTTTACTCTGCACCTCTCTCTGGAAGGCTCTCTCTACCTGCAGGTAGAAGAGGCACAGGGAGGGGCATATCAGTACTACAAACACAAAGCAATATCCTATTGTTCACCTTCCTTTCTTTTTTTCTACAATGGGAAGCTAGCAGCACAAAGGACATCCGATAATCCCAAAGGGCCAGAGTGGTCTTTTGACAGAGCAGGAACAAAACTGCTGTAATCCCCATATAACATAACTGTGAGCATCTTCCGTGCTGAAACAAATAAACTCATTCAGTTACGGTGTGCTTGTTTTTTTGTACATTGGTAAGTCCACAAAGTAAATTTTCAGTGTTTTTAAAACTGTCACATGGGGTTAGGGTTTTGTAAATTGTGAAATATACATTGTTACTATAAAATTAAGACTGATGCAATTGAATTGTCATTTCTACCTGTTACTCAACCTTCCCAGCATTTCCAGTAAGAATGTATCTGCTTATAAAGTTGTGACTTCCATGTTGTAGGTTTGTGCATTTCCAAGACTGTTTTAATGATGATTCAGGTGAGTCTACACCAATCCTCACAAACACAGACAAATTAAATGCTTTGGCTTGTTTACCAGGTTTATTACAATATTCAACATCGACACAAACTAGTCCAAATCCCATATTGGATTTTGCTGCTGTAGCTGTGTTGACATGTTGAATCTCAGCATACATAAGCTTAACTGTTAGTGTACCTGGAAAAAACAAAAACTACACAAAAGCAACTTTTTAAACAATATTTGCTTGGATTAAAAACTAAAAAGGGAACACCCCATTAAATACTCACATCTGTTTTTCTCATTAAATAGAAACTGTCCATCCCACTCTTCAATAACTGTTGCGTTTCTCCTGTCACTTTAAAAAATGGAAACATACAGACATCAAGACATGTTAATCCAGAGCTTGCATCAATGCTGGAGACACCAGTTCTATTATTTAAAATGAGACTAAACCAAAAGTTCAGCATGGCCTCGCTTTTCTTTCTTCTTTAACAAATGCTTCAGTCTTTTATCACTCTACATAGCTTCAGTCAGAACCAGAAGGGTGTCACTGATCCCGCTCCTCCTATACAATAAATTTGGCCAGTTTTGTCCAATAGAGGGTAGCAGTGTTTCAGGATTCAGAGTTGCCACCTGTTGCGTCTCTCATTTTAACTTTCAAAGCCTTGGAGAAAAGCATCACATTTTCCAGTTTTCTTCTTCATAAACATGTTGTACACTCCAAAAAATGTCAAGCTGGAGTGCTCAGAATATGAAACACCTCATTGTCCAGAGAAAAGTCTCAACTACTGGCACATAACTCACTGATCTGTGTCCCAGTGTCAAAGAAGTTGCTTGTTCCCACAGCCAGGATCAGATGTTACTGTACTTAATCATTTAGACAGCCTCTAGTCACCCGATCCTTTATCAGTGATGAAACTTCCACTCCAACTGTCACACTCGTCCTCTTATTTCTGTCCTCTCTCTCCTCAGCATCCATCCTGTTGCTATCAGACTCGGGAGGTGACGTAGAGAGAGCGCAGTCGTTGGGCCAGGGTGGTCTCCAGCTCCTCCAGAGGTGACTCTCCCCAGCTGTGAGCCAGCATAGAAGTGGAGCTGTTCCCTTGTCGCACCCCAGGGGGTCCCAACAACAGGCTCCTGAAGACCTCTCTCTCGAGCAGAGCAGGCATCTGCTGTAAGAAGTATCCTTCACAGAATGAACTTAACTCCACTGAAACATGGGCCTGAAAAAAGAGAAAATTTAAGGGTGAAGTTTTTCCATGTAAAAATACAGATGTAAATTTATGAAAACTCCCTTTTAGTAAAGAAAGGAGGCCATTTAACATGTAACAAATCATTTGAGTAGTAATTTTGTATACATTTCAAGGCGTCTATGCATTTGGTCCGACTGTGAAGATTGCCGTTTCCTGTTCCTGTGGTAGTCAAATTCACTTCCTGTTCACTGTGCCTGCATCGTGTTGTGCTTGCTACCAGATTGTTTATGGATTAAGCTCACTAATTTCTAAGTTTATCTGACAGAGTCCTCTTGAGTTACCTTAGTTGGAGACAAACACTCACTAGCCACTTTATTAGGTACACCTGTACAATTGTAAATGTTTCAATTTAATACTTCTGCGTTAACATCTGTGTTTATGAAGCTAAAAATGTTTCAATTTAAGGTGAAATTGTCAAATGTATTAATTCAATTAAACAACCATGGCCAAAAATACTGGGACCCCTGCATTTTTGTCAGATAATGCACTACTTCTTCCAGAAAATTGTTGGGCACAAATTCCTATTCTCATGTTTATTTTTTCTGTTTGCATTGGAACAACAAAAAGCTGAGGGGAAAAAAAAAGCCAAATCTGTTCCAATCCACACTAAACTCCAAAAATGGACTGGACAGAATTACTGGCACCCTCAACTTAATATTTGGTAGCACACCCTTTGGACACAATAACTGAAATCAACCCCTTCCTGTAACCATCAGTGAGTTTCTTAAACTTCGGTACTGGAATTTTGGACGACTCTTCTTTCGCCAGCTGCTGTTTTGAGCTCTCTCTATGAGATTTAGATCTGGACTCATTGCTGGCCACTTCAGAACTCTCCAGGTCCACACGACAAAGGTTGAGTCAACCTTTCTCCATTTTAACTGGTTCCAAGTGTGGTTTCTACATTGCCAGCACCTGCTGATTGCTACGGGTGAGTTTCATTACAAATTAAAGGAGCATCTGGCTTTTTTTTCTTTGCTTTTTTTTGTTCTAATGCAAACAGAAGAAATTGACATGACTAAAGAAATTGTGATTGCCACAATTTTCTGGGAGTAGTGATACTTATCTGACAGAAATGCAGGGGTGCCAACATTTTGGGTCATGACTAATAAATGTTTCTATACTTATTTGCATAGTTTACATAAAGGTTCTGTGCATATTACCTTGGCTGTCTTGTAGATGCTGACAGCATTATCCAGGTTGATGTGGTGAGAGCAGATGAGTTCACAGTGTCTTTGTAGCGCCCCCAGCTGGAACAAACTAGCAGTTGCCAACAACTGCAGGTGAAAACACCGGCAAATGTTAACACGAATTGTAACACATGGAAGGTCAAAGCAAGGATACATAATTAGGACTTTTTTGACAGTCTGGGTTTTTTTTAAATACTTGGCTCTAACATACAGTGGATATAAAAAGTCTACACACCCCTGTTAAAATGTCGTTCTCGTGTGATGTAAAAAAAAAGAGACCAAGATAAATAATTCCAGAACTTTAGCCACCTTTAATGTGACCTATAACTTGTACAACTCAATTGAAAACAAACTGAAATCTGTTTTTCAGTGGGAAGTAAAAATAAAAAACTAAAATAATGTGGTTGCATTAGTGTGCACACCCTTAAACTAATATTTTGTTGAAGCACCTTTTGATTTTATTACAGCACTCAGTCTTTTTGGGTATGAGTTTATCAGCAATGCACATCTTGACTCTGCAATATTTGCCCACTCTTCTTTGCAAAAACGCTCCAAATCTGTCAGATTGCGAGGGCATCTCCTATGCACAGCCCTCTTCAGATCACCCCACAGATGTTCAATCGGATTCAAGTCCGGGCTCTGGCTGGGCCATTCTAAGACTTTTATCTTGTTCTGGTTAAGCCATTCCTTTGTTGATTTGGATGTATGCTTGGGGTCATTGTCGTGCTGAAAGATGAAGTTCCTCTTCATCTTCAGCTTTCTAGCAGAAGCCTGAAGGTTTTGTGCCAATATTGACTGGTATGTGGAACTGTTCATAATTCCCTCCACCTTGACTAAGGCCCCAGTTCCAGCTGAAGAAAAACAACCCCAAAGCATGATGCTGCCACCACCATGCTTCACTGTGGGTATGGTGTTCTTTTGGTGATGTGCAGTGTTGTTTTTGCGCCAAACATACCTTTTGGAATTATGGCCAAAAAGTTCAACCTTGGTTTCATCAGACCATAACACCTTTTCCCACATGCCTTTGGGAGACTTCAAATGCGTGTTTGCAAAATGTAACCGGGCATGGATATTTTTCTTTGTAAGAAAAGGCTTCCGTCTTGCCACTCTACCCCATAGCCCAGACAAATGAAGAATACGGGAGATTGTCGTCACATGTACTACACAACCAGTACTTGCCAGAAATTCCTGCAGCTCCTTTAATGTTGCTGTAGGCCTCTTGGCAGCCTCCCTGACCAGTTTTCTCCTTGTCTTTTCATCAATTTTGGAGGGACGTCCAGCTCTTGGTAATGTCACTGTTGCACCATATTTTCTCCACTTGATGATGACTGACTTCACTGTGTTCCATGGTATATCTAATGCCTTGGAAATTCTTTTGTACCCTTCTCCTGACTGATACCTTTTAGCAATGAGATCCCTCTGATGCTTTGGAAGTTCTCTGCAGACCATGGCTTTTGCTGTAGGATGCAACTAGGAAAATGTCAGGAATAGCCTACTGGAACAGCTGAACTTGATATGGGGTTAGTCAGAGGCACTTTAATTGATGGCAGGTGTACTGACTCCTATTTAACATGAGTTTGAATGTCACTGTTTAATTCTGACAACAGTCACAGCCCCACAGTAAGAGGGTGTGCACATAATGCAACCACATTATTTTAGTTTTTTATTTTTACTTCCCACTGAAAAACAGATTTCAGTTTGTTTTCAATTGAGTTGTACAAGTTATAGGTCACATTAAAGGTGGCTAAAGTTCTGGAATTATTTATCTTGGTCTTGTTTTTTTACATCACAGAAACCTGACATTTTAACAGGGTTGTGTAGACTTTTTATATCCACTGTATGTCCATGCAAATTGTCAGTCATCCAGGTTGTAGTATGCTGAAAAACATAGGAAAAAAAATCATCTGGATATAGTTTTAGGTAGAAGATGTTTCACCTCTCATCCAAGAGGCTTCATCAGTTCTGTCCACGTGATGGTGAGCAGGAGATATTTACCCCCCCTCGGTGGTGTTTCAGTCCTTCGATGGCCAACAATGTCCCCTAACAACTGAGTCGTTAGGGTCTGGTATTGCGTGTCGTTACCTGTCTTTGAACCCTCACATGTGGACCTATTGTTCTGGTGTCAATTAGGGTGGAAATGTTTGGGCAGAGATCTCAAAACAGGATTGTAGATGGAAGACAAGTTGTGTCTTAGTCCACCACCCCTATTTAGTGAGGGGTGTTCTATTTTTGTAAAAAATAGCTTCCTTGACTCCTATCTCAAACCCACGATGTTCTCTGGAGAGGATCTGGACTTCACTGTCCTCAAAAGAATGTCCTTTGTCCCTCAGGTGGAGGTGGACTGCTGACTCTGGTCCACAGGAGTTGGCCCTCCTGTGTTGGGCCATGTGCTTGTGCAGTGGCTGTTTTGTTTCACCAATGTACAAGTCGTTACACTCCTGACTATAATTAATTGCATACACCACATCACTCTGTTTGTCTGGGTGTTTTGTCCTTAGGGTGGACCAGTCTCTGCTGCACGGTGTTCTCTGGTTTAAAGTTAACTGGGATATTGTGGTTGTGAAATATCCTTTTTAACTTCTCTGATAAACCATAAGGGATGACAGTGTTATCCCCCCTCTTGTTTCTGGTTTCTCCCTGTTGGTGTTGGGCCTCTTTCTTGCTTTGGTGAAGGCCCACTTAGGGTATCCACAAGCCTTAAAGGGAGTTCTGGATGTGTAATTTCTCCTTCTTGGCTGAAACACCACCGAGGGGGATAAATATCTCAGGCTCAACACCAGTCAGGCAGCTTTGGCATCCTTATGAGTGAATTTGATGTTGATATCCACAGAGTTGATATGCTTTGTGAAAGCCTCCACCCCCTAGGTCCTGATTTGTTTCCCACCAAAGGAGCTAGAATGGTGGTCACAACACCACCTAATAAACTCTCAGGCCTTTGCTAAGAAAGTCAGACAACTGCACCTGGACCAGGACCACCCTAATGCACACCAGGACAATAGGTACACCACCCAGTGGAATAAATACCTCCTGCTCACCACCAGTCAGAACTGATGAAGCCTCTTGGATGAGAGGTGAAAAAGTCTATCTAAAATTACATCCAGATGATTTTTTTCAGCAACATTAAATAAATGTAACTTTTATTTTTGCTTATTGTCTGTTGAAACAGAATTGACCACTAACTAAAAGGTTTCTAGTTTACCTAATTTTTTAAAATCATTTATTTGGACTTGTTGAGACTGATTTTACTTCCTCCTCAAACTTAAAGCATTTTTTTTGTTTCACATAAGAAGCCTCTGTAATTGGCTTTTCAAGTATGTTCATCTTTGTTATCAGTTCCAGTAAGATTTTACTTTTAATTGTATATACTGTATGTGTATTGTACACAACAGTTATAGCTCACTCATTAAATTCCAATTTACAACTCTACCATTTTTTTTTTACCTAATCTTCATGTTTATTATTACTACTTGAGTAAGTTTTGCTGCCACTACTGTCAACAGAGTAAATATGGAAAAGATGTGATCATTTTATCATATGGACATGTAAAACTGATGACCCACTGGATGTCCTAAGTGCAGTCTCTCACACAACTTGCCAGACAGGTGGTGTGTATCTGTTCAGTTATTCTTACCTCCAACAAGTCAGGCACATTACTTTTCAGTGACTCTGTTCCTCCACAGTACAGGTATGACATCATCATCTGCAGAGGTCAAAGGTCTCATTTAGGAAGAAGTCAGTACAGCAGTTGGACTAATTATTATATTGTATTTAGTCATACAGCATTCAAGGGTGTCCTCTGTTTTCCCATCAATCTTGATTGATTTTTACACAATAAATGAGGGGTTGAATCATGAAAGAGTATTTTTTTTTCTACCTGGAAAATGTTGTACTTCACATCACTGATCTCAATCTCTTTGTTTGGGCTTCCATCTGGTCCACAGGAGGCCAGCAGAGATTTGAATCTCAAGGAAAAACAAAATTCTTCATTAAAACCCTTTTAAGAAAATCAGTTTTCAAAAAAAATGCCACTGTCTAAAAGATGACTGTATCTCTACTGGACAGCGTGAACCTGTCTCCACTCACTTGTCAGAGGCAGTGATTAGCAGGACTCTGTGGCCATAGAACGGCTTCCCCTCCACCAAAAACGTCACATCTGACATTTCCTGGTTATTCAGGAAATGAGGGTCTGTAGGAAAAGGCATTATCATTTCCTTGACACGCTATTCACTTTTTGTTAGGGACAGAAATTTTTATAATTATAAATTACATAATATAATTCTTTAAAAACAAACCTTGACCAAACACCAATTACAACAAGCTGCACAATAAAAGTAAAAATATCAAATTTAGCAAGATCAAACTAACCTCAATAACCAAAATAAATTGTCACAATAAATACCACTATACTGATAATCAGGCAAAGTCAAATGAAATCAGTAAGTCTTCAGATCAGACAAAAACAGGGAGAAGGGGAGCTTGTCTAATAGGCGGAGGCATGTCATTTCATAGTTTGGGCGCCACATGGAATTCTCAACACTTGGCCACTGTTTTAAACAATCAACAGTAAATTGTAACTAACAGTAAATTCAGATTAAGTCTGAGGCTTTGTGGCTGGTATTTGTCTTGTGATGGTAACTGCCCATCTTTGAGTTTGGGGCTATTCTTCAAACAAAGCAAGCAATTTAATGACATCACCTTGGGCTTTTTGGAAATTGTGATGGACATATTCAGTATTTTCTGGCATTTTCTAGATCTAACAATCAAGAAAATCATTTTCAGATTGGAAATGTATGTATTTTTAAGTTGTACATTTTCATATACGAATTGTAGTTTCCTTACCCAACTGAGCTGAAAGAGTGGCCTTCACTTCAGGGACAGCTGGAAGGGGTGCTGGGCCAAAGCAGTGACTGAAAATAACCCCCAACTGCTGGATAATGGCATCAGTCTGAGGAAAGTGAAAGAACAAACACTGGCATTATATCAGTTATGACAAACTCATTTCATGCTGATAACAAATAGAACATGAAGCAGACAAAGTGAAGTTTGAGTTTGATGGTACCTTGGTGGTACGTAAGATATTGAACATAAGGGGCAGGCCAGTGGTGACCAACTCCTCACAGTAGTCCTCTTCTCTGATCGTAGTGAACTCTCTGAGGAGAGAAAGGGTGACCCCTGCCCTGGACTGCTGCTGGGCACAGCGCAGAGATTCCAGCCACACATGAAGTTTCCAGGGTACACCTGGTTGGAAAGATGTGAATTTTTGTTTTGGGTCTCAAACTAAGCACAATCTGAAAAGTAAGGCCATCTATTACTTGCTAGTGATACTTACCCATCGCTCGTAGCTCCATGGTGACATCCAGGTAGCCGTGCTCTGCGCTGTAGTAGCTGGCCTCTTGCAGAGCCTTCATCATAGCTTTGCAAAGCCTGGGTATGCCCACCTCTGGCAGTGTGCCAGGGCCAGAGGAAGGGGTAGGGAGGGGCGAGAGAGGGAGGAATGGGCAAATTGCAGCTTCTTCACACTCCACCCCCTCAGCTAAGATCTCTTCTAGGGACAGGACATCCTCTTTGACTTGCTGGGGCTGAGTCAGTAGCTTTCTCAACACGTTCCTGACAAGATAAATGGGAGGAAGAGAGAGAGAACGGAGAGGAAACAAAAGATAAAGAAAACATGGAGACATGAAGATCTGTCCAAACTGCAACACATGCATTCATTTCTGTAACCCTGCACCTTCCTCTGCGATTACATAATCAGTCACCCTCACTTGTGAAATGTGAAGTGTTGCATCTACAACATGTTCGCATAAACACAGTGAGCAGGTGGAGAGGTGTTCAGAGACAGATGGACTCGCTTTTCATATTCTGATAACTCACGGTCTTTCATTTTGCCACATGAAGGAAAAAAAAAAAAACAGATGAATCTCTCCCCATAGACAGGTTGTTTCTTCCAGCAGCATGCTCGATTAAAATGCTATTTTCAGGTCAGACTGAAAGACGCGTACCTGTGTCCGTGTGCAGCAGCGTGACTGAAGCAGTTCATGTCTTCAAAGAGAGAGGACGTAAGAGCATTTCCATCATGGGCCTTTGATAAGGGGTCAGCGCCTCGTGCCAGGAGCAAACTCACCATCTCATAGTTGCCTGAGAAGCACAGAAACAGTCTATTACATACAGAGGCAGCTCCTAAACACATTTATATAGGATGTTTTCACTTGTATCAAAGCACAGCCATATTTGCTGAGAACCAGTTCTTCTTGTGTTTTTCCCCATTGGTGTAGTCTATTTAATATGGGAGTAGTGAAAATACTACAGTTTGATATTTTTTAGTGTTTTATTTTTGGCTTATTTCACAATTTATTAGTATACTTATACTCCATATGAATTCTGTTCTTGTTTTATTAGGCTACTCCATTAAATTTTATCACTGCTACCATGAACATTACGTTACTGCATTTTCACAACTCATTCATATTAAACACCATTTACAGTACACACTATCATTGTTGCTATGTAGAGAATGTGTCTGTTGTACTAGAGCTATGTGTGGCTTTCAGATGATCCCACAGAGGAATGCTGCCCAGAGGCTTCTAAACAACCACAGGCCACACTCCGATCCTCACACTGTGCCTTTATCTACCCTCTCATGACCTCATCCGTCCAGCCAATGTGTCATTCACAACTCACTCCTATGTTAATCTTGATGAGCTTTTGGAAGACTAACAAACTACTTTCTGCCTGTATAATTTGGTAAGTACTGATTTACTGTGGCAGATCAGAACACAAGCCTCCCCTAAGTCAGAAAATTCTCCAGCATCAGCTGTGCCTTGTGTTGTCCTCAGTGTGCATATGTGTGGACATGTGTGTGCATGTGTTTGCCCACCTGCTGCCGAAGCCAGCTGTAATGGGGTGTCTGCTGCACTCTCCTGTCCATTGCGGACTGCGGCCCCCTCCACATTGGTCCCTGCATCCAAAAGGAGCTGTAAAGACAGCACATCTGTTACATTAACCAATGTTTGACATCCTGTAATTTATTTATGGCCTGACCTCACACTGGTAAACCCATTGAAAGGATTAGTATCGCATTCACAGCAGGACATTTCCCCTTCAGTAAAAAGAACACAGCCATGCATAATGTCAAATTATGGGGTTGATACAGTAGCTAAATCTGGCCATAACTACTGTATGTGTATATTTATGGTCCAACCTGCACCACGGAGATGTGTCCATGCAGCACAGCGAAGGTGAGAGCTGCCCAGTGTCGGCTATCAGGATGCACACAGGGGTGCCTTGGGGAGCATGGTGGAACCTGGCAGCACAGGACAAATCACTGTTACACACCAAGAAAACATTACATTCAATACGGCCTCTGTGAATTTGAGTGCTTTAAAATGAATACATCCCTCGTGGGTAGATGTAGACAGCCTACACAGAACATACAGCATTGAAATAAATCTGTCCATCTGTTGAAAATATTTAAGCATATGTACCGCCACATCGAGGTTGGCCCCAGCATCAATCAACATCTGGACTAGAGCCTCATCTCCAGCTGCACAGGCATACATCAGAGGCGTCATCCCCTGAGTCACAAACAAAAAGTGCAATGAACAGATGAAAAAGGAGAACAAATACATGAAGTAGTGCTTTAAAAAGATTTACTGATGTGATTTCCAAAGCTTATTGCTGCAATATTCCTCTCACATGTCAAACATAAAAAACCAAGACGTTCACTACCTGGTCATCCATGCTGTTGACCCCATCTGGACCAAGCAGATCAATGGCTTGGCCAATGAGATCTGTGCGTCCGCAGTTGAGCATCCGAAAACCCAGGTCTAGATGGAACTTGTCTGTGGCGGCTTTGGAGTCCAGACGCTTGAAGGAGCTAAAGCAACATTCAGGCCTGACAGAAAAACACAATGAAAAGAAGCTAATAAATGTTGAGTTCACCTTTAATTTGTGAGCGGCAGCAACTAGCCGAGTTTGAGACGACACACTTCTGTCTCCACTCCGACAGTAAAAACATCAGACACGATGAGCTACAATAATTTGTCTCAACCTCCTTGAGATGCATGCAAGTTGTATATTTGTATCTGAGGCTTTTTCTTAAAAACGTCTACTATACTTCATACAAAGATTAATGACCCACATTACAGTCAGTGAACACTCAAATCTAGTGTATGCAGTGTGTAATTATGAAACACTTAAATCACAAGCCTATAGTTCATGGATAAAAGAAACTGTAATACTGCAATTAGCCCAAGTTTAATTTCTTCTCAGCTAATTAGTGACCTCATAAAACCACGCATAGTTGACATGACAATGGAGTCAAGAAAATTGAAATTAGGTATTGTCTGAAGGCATTAGTAAGGTGTAGGTTTTAAATTTCCAGCAATTACAAAAGTTCAGAAACAGTGCCGCTGCTCGTCTCTAGTGCTCATTGTGCTGTGCGTAGTTTTACGTCACCAAGTCCAGTTTGAAGAAACAACAAATGAGCAGGTCAACCATAGTGAGTGTATGTATGTGTTCTCATTTACTTCAGCTGTCTTGGTTCACAGTCGAGCCCTGGGAGGAGAAGCCTGGCAGACTGCCTGACATCATCACTGTCCACCAACAGACTTTTGCGATGCTCAGCATGGACTATGGCTACTCTCATCCACTCCATCAGAGGCGGCAGCAAGAGGAATGGCCTGCAAAGAGGAACTATACATAATTCAACAATTCTATTTGCATGCTCTAACTAGCATTAATACTGGAGATCTATTACACTAAAATAGGTAACAGAAATTTGTCTCCAACTGTAATGCATTCTGCAAATGTGAAGGTTATTTGATAAAAGAATTCGCATAAGGTGGAATTGAAACAATGGGTAATCAGGCTGTGTAAGAGTGGAGGATTTCTTCAACAGTCATGTTGAGGGGGAACTCACAGACTGTCTCAAACCAGATGACTTGTGTGTCTGGCTGTACTTTCCCTCACCCTGACCAGTGAGTCACATTTAAACACACAGCCGAGTACCTCTGTTCTGATCATCACATGCACTTGCCAGCTTTTACACACTGTAAACAGTTGCCGTTCTCCTTTAAAGGCATCATACATGCAAGCACATACACTCAAATAGGAGATGTATGACCACTGGGTGTTTCTGTGTTGGTGGCTTGGTTGTGCTTTCTTGATCGGAGACAAGAACAGAACACTCAGTTGTGCTGTGGTTTGATAAACTAAATATTGCAGTGGCTTCTGAATAATAAGCCTATTTTTTAAATCAGCTGTAGCACAATAAACTACCTGAGTGAGAAGAACAAAGGTGCACCACTCTCATATTGTTATAGATGGTTTCTAAGATCTAAACTGAAAAAAAGGTGTTAAAATGATTAAAAATAGAACAGAGAGACAAGACCGAACTGAGCCTGGGGAAACCAGAAAATATATGAATTGTGGAGAAGCAGTGTCATAAACATGAGAAGATGAATGAAAACAAAGTACATTTGCCATAGTATCTGTGAACATCACATTCTGAAAGTCATCTCTTTGTTTGTATTCATTGTCCTCTTCTCACACCTATTAAATTAAATCCCTTTAGTGATATGGCTATCTGCAACAGCACGTCTAGCCGCTTATCTGGTATTAAGTCCTTCTTGTCTGCTCCTTTGTCTCACCATATGTGCATAGAATGTACCTGTGAACAATGACACATTATTGTGAGTGTAACTGTGGTTTGCTTTTAATCCTACAAAGCCTCAGTCAGGGTGTGTTAATGATTGTTTCAACACTGCCTCTGTGTTAACACTGGTTACCAAGCTGCCTTTCTCCTGCTGTGATGTTGATCTTCACAGCAACTTCACTGTTGCTCCAAGGAGATGCAAACACTCCAGTGCATACCATGAATACAGAAGGAGGCAAAAGCATTAGTAGTATACAAGTACATAGGACTGCAGTGTGCATTCTACCGGATATATGGATGGTGGACACTTAATAAGAAATGGGAACCCTGAGTTTGACTTGTTTGCCTCACTGTGTTAACTTTAATCAGATACAGTACCTGTGGTTTCCTATAGAATAGCTCCTGCTGTGCAGCAACACTCTCTCATTCATCGTTGCTTTGATAGTGATGTATATTGAGACATTGATCTCCTCTGTTTTATCCAAATGCTTAATAAAGTTAATAGACTTTTCAATGGCTTAATGTATCATTTACTTGAATTTAACAACCATATGCATATATAAATATTTTTTTCTGACTTAACATAGCAAATGAAAGCATTACAACCTGCTGTCCCTAGTTTCTGTTATCTTTGAGCTGTTCTGTCAGATGTTGCTTCAGTACTTTATCAGTCAGTGATTAGTCAGCAGGAGGAATCCTGCTGTCACACAGACGTGACAGTTAACAAGCAGACATGAGGCTGATGGGCTGGAAGAGATGTTGAAGGAGGAGGGAATGGTTAAATTTGGCTGATAGGTACATAAAAGGAGGTCCTGGATGTTTGGCAAATGGCTAGGGGCAGGTGTGGTGTGTCAAGATGATTAAGGGGGTAGGACAGGCCAATTTGGAGATAGTCTGGTGGCTAAAGAGTGATAAGAAAGTCATGTTTCTGTGGTGGAGGGGGAGGAGCAGCAGCAGTGGGCTTGGAAAACAATGTTTATAGCACTCCTAATAGCCTCCACTCAATGCAAATTGGGCTACATGTGTATCTTTGTTCACATGTGCATCCGTGCATGTTTCTGCGTCTGTCTTCCTGAACTGGCAATAGGACTGATGCAGAACTAAAGCTGTTTCAATCAACAATGCCCAGCTTTTAACATTTAGCGATCCATCAGAGAGAGTTTCTCTGTCTTCTCTTTATCAGTCAGCATTCATTGCCTGTGTTTTAGTGATTACAAATAAAATCATGCAAATTCAAATCCTTGCATTGTAACCAAGGCAGTGCATATCTTTGCCAGTGGCCCATGACTGCATATAAATGGAGCACGTCTATGCCGTCACCCGCTCCGCTCTGACTCCTATCCCACAATTCATCTCACCTTTGAACCATTCTCTCCCTGAATCTGAACTGAACCCTCTAGTATATCTCCCAGCTGACCCCTGTGTCTGGAGTATGCCCATCAACCTGAAACAAACTTCAGAGTCAGTACAACAACAAAGCTAAGATGCCTGTTAACACTGAAACTAGATAGTGCTTCTGGCTAGCCTCCTGACCTGACATGCTGAGCCTGCACACTGAGAACAGCAGGATGTAGACACACACAGACACATGCACATATGTCAGCTCTGATTCATGGCACCTGTCCCACCACCACCTGGCTTGTAATAAAATGAGAGTCGGTTCAAATCACGATCATATGTGTTTGAACTCTAACCCATCTAACAAAAAAGGCATTTTCTCTCTAGGACGCAACATCACACATGTTACACTGGCCCCATGTGTCTTTTGTGTCCTATATCATGAAGCCGCTTTAATTGAGTTCATGCTGGTCAAACTTCAATCAAGTCTTAAAGCAGCTCCCATCATGGGCTAAAAAGGGTCAAGGTTAACCACTGATTTAGAGTCAAATTACTTTCAAAAAGGCTCCATACAGGGAAATGTAACCATAGCTGATGTATCTGTGGTTAGAAGCAAGCTCCACTGGCTGCGTCTTATCACAGTAACACATCTATCCATTAGTGCTGCCCTCCATCCGATGAAGGAAGCAGAAGGGTTGGGGTGCTGTTTTGGGGAATATTTAGAAGTGGTCCTTTTTGGATGACAGACCAGTGATGTTACCATTAAAATAGAATGAATAATAAACTTTCAGCACTAATAACAATTGCATTTTTCTACAATGTGACAAAATTTAGAGCATGAATGCAAAAAGGAGCAGACAGACTGGTGGCTGGCCTCCCACGCTTTAATACAAGGTCATCACTCACAACTAAGCACCAGCTTTAAAGGATCATAACAGAAGGGGCGTCTCTCATACGTAGTCTCGAGGTTTCTGTAATAAGGCTCCCACCAGGCTCCCTATAATGTTTGATGATGTGGCTCGCACAGATCTGGTGGTTTTGGGTTTCCACCAAAGATTTTGTAAAGCTTTCACAAGAGGCTGAGCCAGAGAGATGGAGAGGCCCACTGAAGGAGAGAAGTCTGCGCCACTACCAGGCACTTGCATGTTAATCACTACCAGGTTTGAGCTGCTCCACTCTACCACCTGAGTCCATCCTGTATGCTAACACTCACTGATCTACACATAGGCACAGACAGACAAACCAGTAGATGTCTAGAAAGATAAACAGAATGCTGCAATGTTCCAGAGTATACATTAAAACAGGATGCTAAATAATTCCACACATAAACCAGGCTGACATACACCCATCATTAAAAACACCTGAGGACTTGGAAGAAAACAGCCAGGACACAGAAAACAGGGGGTGTGTATCTGCTGTCCTGTTCTCTTCGATGCTAATGAGGAGCCTACCTTTGGCTCACTCACACTGTGTCTGTTAATTATTAAATGAACAGAAGCCAGCTGATTCTACTATATGTATATACACATGCACGTGCATGTACAGTGGCTGATTTCATCACAAACACATGATCATCTCAGGTGTCATGCCCTTATTATAACTTAACAATCACAAACATAATTTTCTAGAGATGAAAACATTAACTGAGGGAAACTAAACATGCACATTAGTAGGAGCTTCAGTGCTATAGTCACAGGGCTCGATACTTCCATTTCAAGAATTAACCTTTACATAGGCAAAGGCACTTTCCACTAACATTTTTAACATATACTCTAGGGGAGACGTGTGGGCAGGCTGCAAGCACTTTTTTCCATGTACCCTCACACACTGTGAGTACTAACTAACTTCACATACCTCTCACATTAATTTACTGAACTGTAAACCCGTGTGAGCACAAACACTACAGTGTGTCATACAGTATATCAGTTTTATTTTTAAGAACTCAATACAGAGTTGTGCTGTGGAAACCCAACAACCACTTCCTGAGACTTATTTAAAGCCAATGATTAGCCAAGAAAATCTTCAAAATAAACTAGTAAACTGTTAAAACCAGAATTATATACACATTTAATGCACTGCCTTCCATTCAGGTTGTTTAAATAATTCCATTCACTTGTCCCAGGTATGAAACAATCTCTCATTTCATTCTATAAAAGCAACCCAAAGAAGATCTTAAGCTAAGAGAACGCCATTAAATAACATTTCAGTAAACACAGGGTGATTGGATGAAGAATAAAGTGGTATGCAAAAAAGCCATTCTCTTGATTAGAACCTATTTGTTAGTTGTTGAAGATGAATGCTTGTGTATTTGAATTTGTGTATTTGCCATCGCTAGAGTGTCAGCATTAATCACATCTCTTTCAGCCTCATGACCTAAATTAAATCCTTCCTAATTGCAGATGTAATCTGCAAAACAAAACAAAGCAAAACATGCACAAAGGAGACAAGGATGAAGCTCTTTTCTGAGTGTGGTTCTAAAACTAAAAACACCCCAGTGTCTAAGATTGGATCTGGTTTTTCACTGCCTGTGATACTTTTTGGAGAGCATCTAAAATGCCCCTGACCAGTCATGCATGACTCCCACCTCTCTTTGCTAAGTGCCATGCGTGGAGGATCCAAGTTGGGATTCTCCATGGACTCCATTTGCGGGCAGCGCAGGAAGTAGTAAAGGGTGTGGAGGGCGTCAGGCGACCAGGACACAGGCTGCTGGGGGCGGGCATGACGAGCTGGGCTGAGCCCCAGGCGTGCTGAGCTCAGACGTTGCATGTGGTGCATTGCACGAGACACCAAGTCACCTGGAAGAAAAGAAAAAATGAGATCAGTGCAAGATGGTTTAGAAAATCTTTGTTATGATTAAAAAGTTAGGGTTTCGCATTTCTTTTGTTCTGTCCTGTATTACAGCTTCAAAGATCAGAAGTTCCCTAAGGATTCTGGGATATTCAGGCCCCAAACAAATACCAAGTGGCACGTTAAAAGACAAACTACAACAAGAAGGTTCACTGCTCAGTATAAACCCTGTGGGCTCCCAGTCAAGTGGGCTTTCCCCTTCTTCTTAGACCACTTACATTCAACCCTCCATTACTCTTTTGTTTCCCTCAGAGTCTCTAGTGGTATTTGTCATTAGCAGCGTCATTATCAGTAAGCACAGCCAGACAACCAGTCTAAATAGCCATACAGTACGTCTTTAATCACTGAAGGGGTTAATGGGCTATCAAACACTTGATCACAGGCTAATGAACCACTCAACTATTCCTATATTGAGGCTGTTCAGTCAGTGCACTTAGCCTGAATGAAAGGGGGTGTTAGTGACATGATTAAAGCAAGGCTAAAACTGTGCTCAAATCTGATAACAAAAGTAGAATTCATCCACCCACACTGTGAGCGAAGTGAACATCTGTCAGCTAAGTGAACACCCATGTGCAGCTGGGTGAAATCTAATTCAGGTTATTGTATGTGCAGTAGATATACAACTTATTAACCCAACTAGAATGAAAAGACAAAATATCAGTCTGCACTGGGAGCAGATGTGCAGGGGGGGGCTGAAAGAGCCAGTGTGATAGAGACCAGGTTAAACTCAGGAGCATGCAACAGTCATTTTTGCTTAATTACCCGTGTTAATTTTGAACCAGATTACCACAAGAGGGGGCTGCACAGGGGCCAGGTCTGGGGATTTTAGCAGTGCAAGTGTGTACTATATATGTTTGTCTATACTAAGGGCTTTGGGGCACTTTGAGGGGTGTTAGACTGGAGAACCTTTCCCAAAACAGACCCCACTTAATGCTGAAGGGTCTCCTTTGTGTTAACCACCACCAGGCATCCCACCAGGAGGCCTCCTAGGAATTTTTGTCCAAGATGGAGCACCTCCCAGCCCATACTGTGCCCTGAGGCTAAACTGCAGGAATCAGAAAGATATGAAACACTTCTTTCTTAGATTACAGCATATTTTTGAATCCCCATGGAATACATGACAGACGAATGTGCCTCGTACGTCAAAGTTGCAAGATAAAGAATTGTTTCAAAGAACACACCGTTTATTCTGTCACTCAATTTAACACCAACACATTTACAGTTTGTATCTGGACCTCTGTGTGACCCAGATTTTAAGCACAAAACTCACTTTATTTTCTTTTCAGTCGAATTAAATGTTTCTAATTTTAATATATTCCTTAGTTAAACTGGGTGACCACATACTCAGTGCTTCCCATAGCTGGTGGAAGACCGCTGCAAATGAAATATCAAATGTGCCTGAAGACAACTTTCAAAGCCAGTCTACCGGTTAACAGTGTATTTCCAACAAGTTTGGACACTTAGCTGTAATGTCATGAATCCTGCCATCCATTATCCAGCATGTTTATATATGCTGTGTGTCTGGCCAGTTCCAGTCTGGAGATCCAACAAGACTGAACAACTTAGTACAGATGCTCCTGTGTCTGCCTGGTCTCTTGGGCTCAGATCAGAGTGCCAGCCCTCGTGTTTCTGTGTGCTTATATGTATCAATGAACACGTGTGTGTACGTGTGTGTACGTGTGTGTGTGTGTGTGTGTGTGTACGTGTGTGTGTGTGTGTGTGTGTGTGTGTACGTGTGTGTGTGTACGTGTGTGTGTGTGTACGTGTGTGTGTGTACGTGTGTGTGTGTACGTGTGTGTACGTGTGTGTGTGTGTGTGTGTGTGTGTGTATATTTGTATAGTATGTAAATTCTGTAACATGATGACTTCCAGCCGTGCCCAGAACAGCCCAGCTTCACACCACCAGAGAAATGTGACACAAAGAGACCACTGAGCAAGTGAGAGAAAGAGAGTGTCTGTGTTTGAGAGTGAGTGCACACTTTATTAATTCCTCACTAACAGCGGTGGTGTATGAACAGGCCTTATGCTGGAGGAGCACAAAGGAAACCTATCCCTACTCTAACCAACACTAGTCCCCCTCCCTCCTCTAATCCTGTCCACAAAACCTCAATCTTCATTTCTTTACCTTTCCATCATTTCCCCTGACCTCACCCCACCCTCCACACATCTAATCTCCACTTTATCAACTATGTACTCCATCCTTAAATACAATTCCCTATCCTCTGAACCTCCACCACACCAACACCCGCCTTCTATTTCGGTCTTTGTCCTTAGTCCTTAATGGCCTGAACATACGTAAATACATTTTTTCCTCTGATAAAATAAAGTCCAGAGCAATATAGCAATATTCTGTAAGCAAAATAAAACTAAACAATGTAGACACTGACCAGATCCAAGGCTTTTCCCATGTTAACCAACTTGCCTGAGGAACAAAACAACAGAGTACCAGAGAGTTTGTGTTGACCTGATCCACACAAAAGAAGACCAGGGACAAACAATATAGTCTCAGACATATTATCGCTTTATACTCCAGACCTCCATGTGTACTATTTAAACTGTTCCACTGCTTATTTTTAGTAGAGATTACAAGCTGGGACTTGTCATAAGACAGAAAGTGATTTAAAAAAGTAATTCTATTATCTCTGCTTCACAGTTGGCTGTTTGAAATAACTGTCAGAGGAAAGGATTCCTGTCTTTAAGAGCCAGAGAACAGGATGGGAATAACAAAGTGTGTTTGGAAAGTGTTCAGAATATGGTCGAGTATTTTTTAAAACGACAGCCGGTTTATTATTTGTTTACTTTTCAGTAATAACGAGAACATTTTGTAGATTTACTATTGTTTCTTTACGATTGCTAGGAATTTAACAGATTAAACACGATATGTGAAAAAGTTTACTACTCTAAAGTATAGCCAGGACCACACACTATTCTGTACTCACTGAGTTCAGAGATGCTGCCCACACAGGTAGCCAACAAGGACTGTTCCAGCGTCCTCAGCTCCAGCTGGGCATAGGCATCCTCCCTGCTGTCCACAGACGTCTGCTGGTTCTCTGTGTAAGGGCTGAAATGGGCTGGGAGAGACAAAACACCTACAGAGGGGGAAAAAAAACAAAAACAAAAAGAGAATGGCATTTATGATTAATATTGTAAGTCTTCATTGCAGCCATCCATCCACACTGCTCCTACACAAGTCCCAAAACAACTGCTGTGGAGGTATTCATGTAGTGTATTTGCAATTCTGGTAACAAGTATCCCACACCACTGAAGGCAAATAAACACAAGGGAATGTCAGTCTCACTCTCAACACATTCAGGTAAATAAACAGAAGACACTGTGACACCAGGCTAATACAAACAAAACAAACGCACACTGCATCAAACTGAAAAGATTACTGAGACAGGCAGGGATCACGTTAGGAATTCAGGGCCACTGGTAGTATTTATTTCACTTTAATATCATGGACACTGTACAACACCACTCATGTCTAACTATGCAGATATATGTGGTTACAGTAGATGGTTGGTAGTTCATTTTGATACAGCTACAGCATATGCAGTAGGATCACTCAGTAAGAACGGTTTAGTAGGAGGTTCATACTGTATTTAGGATGCCCTTAACCAACATTGTACTGAAGGTGTCCAAACATCCAGCAGTCTGAGTGTCTCCAACAACCCCTACTCTGACCATTTTATACAATAAGTCACCTCTAGATGAAGAAACATACAAATCTCATTACAAAAAAAAAGAGGATCTGCAGTTTGTTACATCAGTTTCACAGAAACCTTTATCCTTCACTATCACATACAGTAAACAATTGTAAAGATAACTTTTAAGTTTTGGTTCTGGGTTGGAAGACATGATGCTACGGATGTGGATGTAAATACCACAAAATACATAAAATGAAAAAGCATGGGCAGGAGGAAGGATTCCCTAGTAAAAGCTGTACTTATTTTTTTAAAGGGCACTCTTAATTACAGATCTGATCAAAAAGAGAAGGGAAAACATTTGATAATCAGAATATATGTATGCAACAGTCATATCCAAGCAAACTGTTGCTACAAAGAGGTTTTGCTTTTTTTACCAGTTAATAATTCAAGCTAAAAAGGTGAAATGACTGTTTCTAATACACTGAAAAAATATGACTTCGTGGATTCATTTCAGAATGAAGTCACTCAATTTTTTTAGCAGTGTACAGCATCCGCTGTCATAGCTTGTGGGTGCAGCAAGGGTCAATTTAGGACATGTGTGGTATTTCCTCTTCAAATGGATCCTCTGGAGAGTCAGTCAACCCAACCCAGCCAATGCTGACAAACTGGATGTGAAATGTTGAGAAGAACATATGGAAAAAAAAAATGTTTTTTACAAAGTAAAATTAAATTAAAATGCATAAGATGTCTTAAGACGTACCCTCCCTTCATCATATAAACAGACAAATATGTAACAGTTAAACACCAGGTTTGCTCTTTTATCCTACATGACAGCCGGTTGTCAGACTAATTGCAGGCAAGAAGATAACATCATTCTTACATCCTGTTCTTTTTACCACATGATCACCATCTTCCAGTTAAAATGAAGTGAGATCACTGCTCTTTTCCGCCTTCTAACTCGTTTGGCTCTTCATTAACCCTTGACTGGAGCAGTGTGTGGCTGTGTGACAACCAAAGTGCACCGTTAGTTGATCTGGGTGAACATGGTTAGCTGCGCAAAGAGTCTTAAATGAGCTTACTGCCAAGCCTGAGGATATGAGTGAGGGATGAATATGGGATAGAACAGAATCATGAAAACAGGGAAGATGAACAAAGGCTGAAGGAAAAGCTTCCTCATCTGAAACTCCTCTTACTCTCCCAAAATGGAAAAGGTGATTTTATCATCCTTAAAGCTACATTCCCATGTGCTTCCAGCTACAACTGTAAGGGATGTTGAAAAGAAAAAACTGTTATGCATGAGATACAGGGGTACAGTATTAAATTGCACATCCTAGATGTAAACTTCATTCAGTCTATATGGCAGGCTGCACATCTGCTGCTCTATTAAACACTGATAGGAAATAATACAACATTAAACAGTTCAAAACAGAAACCTAAAAATAGCTGTAGGACCAATGAAACCAGCATAATAAACCAGGCTAAACAGCCCAGGATGCTGTTTATTGTATTAATTTAAACCAGTTTTGAGCTATTTTAGAGAACAACATAAGGTCAATTTCCAGTTTAGAAGCAAAAATGTTTTCCATAAACTTGTCAGACACTGATCTGATGTATCCAGAAGTTTCTTGTTTACTTTTATAGTATCATTTTTAGCATGCTTAAAATAGACATGTCTTAAATAGAAGTGAAATCTTTGAAAATGTTCATATAGTTACAATTGATTCTGCCATATTCTTCCAAAGCTGTGGCAAATATTTGCACACCACCACTCTCAGTAGTTCCAGCAGTCCCACCCCATTGCTTGCCTCACCACTGAACCCCAGCCTGCGTCATCCGGGCCTGATGCAGTTCTGCTAGCCAACAAGGGCCTGTCCCTACCACCTCCACTAATATCACGAGCACCAGCAGTCCCAGCAGTATAGGCAGAATTTTTCTCTGGCACCAGGAAAGACTGAGGAGGGGGAAGAGTGACAGCAGAAGCTGGAAGGAGGAGATGGCCTGCATTTTGTAGTGCTTTTGTGGTAGTGGTTTCATTCTTTTGAGGCCATTTTGGTTCCATTTCTTATATCCCTCCTGCGTGTGTCATGTAGGAGTCCCAGCAACAACTGCCCACAAAGCCTGTGGGAGTCCCCAGCCCATCCAAACTCTCTCTCCAAACCATTACACCACCTCCTAGTGCAGCAAAATGATGTTGGACATACTGTCCAAACAAACTAGCATGCTAAGTAGATAGACAAATCCAACAATTACTTTTTGCAAGCTATAGGTTTGTGAAACCTAGCCCAGCTGGGCTGTCACTCTCAGTTAGGTGTCTTTATGAAACATACCACCTGCTAGTAAAATGTGCCAACAAATACTTTAGTTAGAGCCGGTGAAACTGAACACATCACCGTTTGCCCCCCCCACACGCCTCTCACACTCTTTGCTGCTCTTGCAATACCTCATGTTATCTCCCAATGTCACATGTGGTTCTCCTTGAATGCAAGTTTGTGTTTCTGATGCACATGAATGCAGCACTGCGGTAGAAAATATGTAGGCTCTGGAGGACATTACTGCTGCTCATGTCTACTTCTTCAGCAAATATTTGGAAGATATTTGTTAAGCAATTTTCTATTAGAAAGACCCAGACCTTGAAATCTCTATTGTGTGCAGTCATATTCCTTCCCATTTTTAGTTTCAGGTCTTTTCCCACTAGCTCAGCCATGATAAAAGTACATTCTTGCATCATAATTGGACTGTCTGTGCCGATATGTTTTGTCTACCGCAGTGTGTGAAATGCAGAAGGACATGATCAGTTTTGCTCCTGCTGTATGCTCTCAGTAAGCTCATAGATGAACTCAAAAACTCTGGAGAATGTGTATGTGTGCACTCACAAACACACACACGAGCACCTGCCTTGCTTCTTTCAACAGCCTCTTCATTCATTACAGTGTAGATGGATCAGGGAGTTACAGAAAAGGGGGCTTCAAAGTCACTTCCCCTGCCCAGAAAGGAGCTCTGATTCTGGGCCAGGAGTCTATAAGCTTGGCCCTGTGTGGAGGTTGGAGGGTGGATAGCAACACAATAGTATAGTGTTTGATGGAGCCGTTATTGGATGTGTATCCCCCCTACAGTCTCCTGATCTCTTTCAGAGAGTGTTGTGTGAAAGACACAGTGAACACATGCTCATGCTTCATTTCATGTCAGTGGAATCCAAAGGCCAGATGTAATCCTTCACTCAAAGGCCTGGCCTCTTGTTTTCCACCCTTAAAGGCTTCAAAAACACCTGTTTTTTTTTCCCACACACCCAAATTCATCCACACACACACGTACACCACCTTCTTCTCCCTGTTTTTAGGGACTCTGTACCACACACAGATCTTTTCTTGGAGGCACTGAGCACAGTTTCAGAGAGGATAACTGAGACTGATGAATGAAGTTTATTGTGTATTGTACGTCTCTCTGTGAAACCAGGGCTTTGTTCAGTTATGCTAACTTCAGAGTTTCAGGATGTTAAAAATATCAGTGCGTTTGCTTGTTCTGGTGGTCCCTCCCCATGATCCTTATCTAAACAGAATTCACGTGGGACAGAGGGGCATTTAGAAACTTCAAGTAGTCTATTAGTATTAGGGCTAAAAATAAAAAACATTATACAAATTATCATACAGTACAAGTGTATCTTTGAAACTACCTATGTGGAGCTGGGGGCAGACAGAGGAGCATTTATAAGCTGAAGCTGCTTTCATTTAAACTTTCAGTTTGGACTGAAGTGACCATTCACGGGAATATTTGTGTCCAAATCCAAATGTTTCTCATTTAAAAGTCTTCATAAGTTCTCTCTCACACTCACACACACACACACACACACACACACACACACACACACACACAAATGCCTATGAGAGCCTGAAAAGAATCATAGACCATTACAGACAAGTGAAGTGGACCTGGATGACATCCCTTGACACATCTGTGACCCCTGGCTGCAAGAGGTCATGGGTCAAAGGTGGCGCTCAGCTGAGCCTAAAAAAAGAAGTAACCTTATCAGCTGTGTAAAAGGGGGCTTCCCTAACACCCACACCACTACACCACATAAGCTAGAATGGAAAAAGATAGAGTCCCTACATTTGGTGAATGTGAGGCAATCACATGTAGGGTCAGAAAGGATTTCATGTGCCTGATCTGCTCATTCTGAGACTGTTACTGTTGCACAGCATTCAACATTTGACTTGTAAAGACATGTCTAGGAAGCAAAACCACAAAGAAAGTTCATCTTAAGATTTGAAAGTGTAAAAGTAAGATTGTCAGATCAGCCCACTGTTATAAATGTGCTAGGAATCCCAGTGTGCAAAGCCATAAAGATTAGATCTGAATTTCCACATGAGGTGTGTAGAATCTTCAAATACTACAATTCAAAACTTAATTATGACTCCATTACTACAGCTGGGAGCTACCAGATATTT